TACTGTATAAGTAGTATTGTGTATTTAACTCAAATCGTTGTGTATTTAACTCAAATTTTGCTACAACAGGCTCCATTCTTAACTATGGGCTGTCTTTAAACCAGGGGTTCTTAACCTTGCTAGAAGCTTGTATCCAATCAATGTTTTGGACTACATTTCCAGTCACTCCAACTGGCAATGCTACCTGGGATTTATGGGAAAACCAAATCTATGAACTAGTGCTGCATGTACCCAGGATATGAGTACAGGAGCAAATTTCACAGAAGTGATATAATGAACCAAAGCATTTGCTATCCCAGGGTGTTATCCTTGGCACCAAAGGTTCTGATCAAGCTGGTAGGTAACTACAACCAGAACAAAACAAAAAGGGTAAAGAGGTATAAATAGAGAAGACTGTATTTAGGACCATCTCTCTAAAGGAGAAGGCAACATCACAGACCAGGGGATTGCTTTTCAGATTTTGTTGAACTTCTAGTTCCAATCAGTCCTAGCCAGCATAGCCAGAGCTGAGGGATGACGAAAGCTGTATTTAAATTACCGATCATCCAAATCTAGTATAACTGCTTCATAGATTTCTGGAGAAATTCATGGAAAGGATAAGGTTGCAGGAAACATGCAAGGTCAGAAAATGTACCACTGCACTTTAAATCTTATGATTGTCTTATGACTGTGCCATTCAGGAGTTTGTAACTAGCCAACTTTATATAATGAGAATGTTGAATCATCTGATACTGTTTTAATCCTTTACCCACAAACACACACAAAAAAATCCACATTTAAGATGATTTTTTTCTCACTATAGTTTAATTTCCTTGCATTTTAAAACAAACACTTCTGTTTTTAAAAAATCCTCCATCTGATGCATGGAACAAATACCTGTACATACACAACAAAGCCACATCCAAGGGAGACCACTCTAGTTTGGGCCAATCTAATACATATATAGAAAAAGATAAATCTAAAAAAATAAGAAAGCAATTTAGTGTTTAATGCCCAACAAAATGTGAAGGCCAGAAGAGAAAAACAACCCAAACCCTAAGCTCCGCCCCCCAAAATAAAATCCATCTATGAGATAGGAATGTCAGGAGCACCTCCCAAAGATGCTGGGGAGGCAGTTTCTGAAAACAGCTTCCAAGGGAAGGAACTCAGCAAAGCCTTCTCCACTGTTCCTGGAATGGGGAAAGCCAAGCTCTTTGTGCTTCAGTCAGCTCTGCTGATATAGTCTAAAGAAATAACAGCCAAGAAAGAATTAAGCCCTACCTGTTTGGGTTACTTTTGGGACTTACTTTTACATCAGAAGACATGCAAGTCAGTAGCGTTCACCCAATAGTCTCTCTCTGTCCTCATTCCCCTTAGGTTGCTCTAATGACATAAACAGTTCTTAGGACATCCCATCTTCTTACCCAGAGGAAAATTCTGGAGAGAGAATTAGCTAAGAGTTTTTTTGTTTAAACTTTCTCTTTAGTAACAGGTAGCCAGGCTGACCAACCTTGTTGGACATTCTTCTCTCAGCAGCCTTATGCATCTCCAATAGTGCTTTACTAGAAAGAGCCATGTGACCACTCTAAATGGTGACAAATTTTAGGAATGGGGAAGCTACAAATAGTCTGCTTCAAGCTATGTTAACATCTTTATTCTTTCCATCTATGGTTCCCCCAAGAACTAAGGGAAGGTCCTGCTGTAAGATGGCAGACAAGAGAGGTGTAATTCTCAATCTGTTTTCCAAAGAGTTGTCATTTGATTTTTTAAAAGAAATCTAGATGAGATTCCCAAAGGTGGTAAATCATTCCAGATGCCTGCCCACAAGGAAAAAACTCTTATAATCCAAATATGTAGATTTGAAGGAGCTGTTATTTCAAACTCCTACTTTTTTTTCCTTTCTGCAAACATACAACAACCTTCATACTTCTGCCAGGTCCAGAGTGGAATTCTCCTGGGCAATACAAAAGAAAAAAAATCTTACAAGCACTAGTACAAAGATAAAGGAAATATATATATATATATACGTATTAATAAAGGAACTAGTGCTTTTGAGCTTTGTCCTAGTATTCAACTCTATATTGCTTTAAACAGGCAAGTAGATAAGTTAACCAAGAGCTATCCTTTTAAAAAGAAGTTTGAATACACCGGAGTTGTGCTTGGAAACATTTTTCCAAATATCTTCAAGCAATGCACTTTAGGCATCCCTATGAACATAGGAATCAATTATTTTAAATGTAGAGAACACCATTTAAGTGTGATTTCCAGCTTGACCCTTACTATTCCCCCAAATGAGGAACAGGATTTTTTTTTTCCAGCAGCCTGTTTAAGAAAATAACCATGATGAAATCTGAAGCCTTAGAAGGCTGGTGAAAGCATGTAACACCTTTTTTCATATCATGCTGTTTATTCCAGATTCAGTTGCAATTTCTCCTTCAAATCAAAGGGAGTATACAGCTTTTTATACTCTTATCTCATCATCTTCCTCATCCATAAAGGAGAACTCCTTCTCTGGCTGTTTCACAGGGTTGTGCCTCCCATCATCAGGAGGACTGTGGCTCTGTCCTTTAGAGACTAAGCTACGCTGTTCCTCCCCCGCAGAGGCGCAGCTGGAGACTGAACTGCTGTCCATTGTTGTACGACTGGTGATGCTGCGAGCCGAGAGAGGACTATAAGTGGCCGCTCTGTGGCCATCATTTTGAATCAGAGAATCCAGGGCAAGTTTGCTTTCATGGCTAAACCGCTGGGCTCCTGATGTCTCAGTGGAGCCAACTTCCCTTTGGGGGTCCTCTGCTCCATGATAACCAGAGTCTTCTTGTTCCCACAAGTCCTTATCCATAATGCTCAAGACATCCCCTAACATGGAAGGCCCCAGATCAATATGGAAAGAAAGGATGGACTCAGCATGCTTCATGCCATAGCTGCCCTTGGAGATGACTAAGGGCAAATCGGTAATATCCCCAAAATCACGCTCTTCCAAGCCAGGGCTGTGGGGCTTGGAGTTGAGGACTGCAGCAGCACCATTCATGTGTTTCTCTTCAAGGGTATTCTCCTCAGGGGCTTTCTTCACAGGACTGGAGGAGAGGCTCTTGGGTAGCTGCTTCCCACTACTCTTGTCTGCTTCCTTCTCAGTGAGTTGGGGTAGGGACACCGCATTCTTCACAAAAATAGCGGAATCCCTGAGAGAGCCCAGCATGTCCCGCCGGTCACCACGTGTCACAGAATGAGACCGCTTGCTGCTGCGAAACTTTCGTGAGAGCAGGCCAGGTTTAGACGAGGACCCAGTCTCCTCTGTGGCCTCCTGTTCTCCCTCTCCACCCTTGCTATTGAGGAAGGAGGTATCTCCAAAGGCATCACCAGCCCGACCTACATGCATGGTGTGGCGGAAATCGCCAAGAGGAGCGCTGATCATCTCAGCTGTCAGATCAGCCCGAGACCGGCGTTTAGGATTAGCAGAGTTTGTCACCAGCTGCTTCAGAATGGGCATTTTTGTGAGAAGTGTGAACCTGGATTACAGATAGACCAATGTGTATTTCTGCAGTCCCACAGGGAGTCCTCAAACCTCTTCTGGCCTTCTAGTACTCCAAGCCTAAAACATTAAAAAAAAGGGAAATGTTAGATTGCAGCTGAAGAATGGAAATGCTGGCTCCATTTTTGTAACTCAATGAGAAGCAATTCCTCAAGTTTCTAACCCTTCACTTTTAACACTGGCAAGACTTTTTTGGAAAACTGATAGCTGAACATTCTTGGAAGGCCACTGTTCTCTCTCCCTGTGCTTTCTGCCATATATGAGAAACTGAGAAATGTTTTCAGAACTTCCTCCCTAAAAAAAGGGGCCTGGCTGATTACGCTTTGCAATGTGAACAAGACTACAGGGCTGTGGCTTCAAATCTCAGTGGCAGTGAGGACTCTGTATGTAATCATGATTCAACACAGACGTTAAATGATAACTCCCCACTCCCTTGCAGAAATTTGTTCCTTTCTTATTTACTTGGAAGTAAGTTTGCATGCTGTGTAGAACAGCCATCTGAGAGCAAATACAGATTTAAATGCCAGCCAGCTCCATGAAAAGAGAGCTGAGGTATATGCTTGCAACAGAACTGAAGAATCCCTAAGACATGGTTTTCTATCCTTCTCTCAGATGCAGAGTTTTGCTCATTCATGTCTGAAAACTCTCTCCATTGTTTGTATCTAATTTCCCCTGAAACATAAGTTTGGCTCATGGATCAGTATTTCCCCAAACTTTTGTGTCTAAAAGGGAACCTTACTCAATAAGATTTGGCTGCTACTGAGATCAATAATTTTGTCAGTACCTTTAGCCATCAATAGTTAAATTCCAAATATTGTTGATTTTTCAGAGATTTTGCTTCTGCCTTGCTCTGTGGACAAACTGGTTTTACAGATACCAGCTTTTTAAAAGTAGTACTAGGAAAATCCTGGAAGGGCTTTCTCTGCAGCCTGACCAGCAATCTTACAATAGATGTGTATCAGTTAGATAGCATGGGCTCCTATTGGATAATGCCAGTGACATAATTTGTGATGAGTAATATTTTCTCCACATACCATGCTTAGTGCAGCTGACAGCCTTTTATTGTGTTACACTCTCTCAGGATGGCAAAGGGTGCATGAAAAATGTTGGTTTATTCTACATACTAACTTCTTAAAACTGCTTCATTTTTTAAAATTTTGTAATATTTTTTAAAGATGTACTCTCCCCGTTCAATCTGTCTGTTTGTCTGTCTTTTTAAAAAAGGTGGTTTTCCATTGGAATGACAATGCCCAGAACAGAAATGTTGCTGACAGGAAATACAAACTTGCATCGAACAAGGAAAAGCATCTATAGTTGGGAAAAAAAAGTCCTCCTACATCTCAGTCCAATTCAAACTGTTAATAGCAAGCTATTGGTAGTGGATCAAACCTGCACCCCACCTGTAGTAAGTATCTCCAGTTCCACCAAAGCAGTTTATGCAGGGTGTCAATTATGGGCAGTCCAACTGACAAGAAACTATCCTATGCTTTTAAAAGATGGTAAGAAGGACGAGCAGATAGTAAAGATGTGATACAGCTTAGTATTTGGGAATTAAAATAACTTGCAAATTGAACTGTGACTTAAAAGTAAGCTTGCAAATAAGAACAAAGTCAATCCACAAGCCAAGTGGGTTTGTGAACAACATTATGCCACCAAACTTGTCTAGTGTCCTTTTTTCAGAAGGCAGGGAGAATGAAGTAGTGTGTGCTGAATTAGAGTCATTATACAAAGCATGTTATATAATAAGCCAAATAATCATTGTCTGAAACCAACATTCAGCAACACATTTAGCCAAAGATTGACCATTATCTTCCATCGTGCATATTAATAGCAGTCTTACACATCTATTCAGAACTATGTTCCACAGACCCTTCTTCCCAGATTAACGGCTATAGGAATGCATCCTAGGCAATATGGTTCAATACAATTCAGTCAAAATTCGTACTGCTATTTCTTTCGCCTTTTAATAATAAATATTTTCAATATTTGGTTCTTCCCACAAGCCTTGGGGTAGAATGTGAGGGAGAGTGTTTCCCCAGGGCACCGTGAGTTTCTATTGTAATTGTCTGGGGAGGTTTGCTGTTTTTATTGTCTTGTGAGACATCCAGAGTTATGGTTACAATCTGGGCAGCTATACAAGTCTAATAAATAAAATATACTTACAGGTAAAAAAACATTAAGTTCACTTAACTGGAATCTACAATCAAATTAGGAAAACATCTCTACTTTAGCCTTTATTAAGATGTGAGGGCTAAAAGCAAAGAAAATGACTGGAGAACAGTAGCACAAACCTGGAAGGAAAAAAAGTGGCAGCAAATTTCATTTCCCTACACATACCTACGTTATCACAAACTGAGCAAGTCAACAGCAATTTGACATGCCTGGTGAAGAAAGTGCATGTTACATTCCCCAACAAAAGAAATGGTTTGCCATTTTCGAACTCTGAGATTTTGAAGGGAACCCAAATTAATGGGAAGGAGATTTGAGAAGAGCAAAGAATATTGCCAGAAAAATAGAAGCTCTTCCCTTATTACTCATGTATTCCTGTTTTTGTTTTTTTTTAAGTGTATGCAGAACTGGAAAAAGACATAGCTACTAGCCATAAAAAGTTTTTGTTTTTTTTAAAAGAGCCAAATAGAGAGAGGCAAGTGACAATTTAAACTTTATAAAGAATGCATTCACTTTTTGTTAATGAAAGATGAGGAGCTATCAACCTACAAGATCCAGAATATACTTGGTCCTTCTCTAATAATTTGGTAATGTCAAGTCAAGATGCTGGTTATCCCCTTTAAAACCCTACATGGCACAGGTCCAGGTTATATGTGGAACTGTCTCCTCCTGAGGTTAATTGTTCACCCCATCAGGTCGAATAGAGTGGGCATGCTCCAGGTCCCTTCCCTTAAATATTGCCATCTAGTGGGACCATCTAGTGGGTAGGGACCTTTTATGTAGCAGCTCCTACCCTATGGAACACCCTTACTCCCAGGATCTGGCAGGCCCCCACACTTTTAGCCTTCTGGAAGGCCATACGGAGCTGGCTCTTCCCCCAGGCGCTGGGCTAGAATGAGATGGGAGCCTGGGGGTGGCTTGTTGGGGGCATCCCAAGAGGATGGATAAGGCAACAGATGTGTTATTTTTATGGTTTTTTATTGTTTTGTAGTTTCATTGTTATGAGCCACCCAGATGGACAGCTGTACAGGTAATCCTCACTTATTAACTGCTCATTCAGTGACCATTCAAAACTACAATGGCACTGAAAAAGGAGATTTATGACCAGTCCTCAAACTTGCGGCCATCAAAGTGTCCCGCAGTCATTTGCGACCTTCATAGCCAGCTTCCAACAAGCAAAGCCAATGGGGAAGTCAGCAGGAAGTCACAAGCCACATGACATTGTGCTTAATGACTGTGGGTGATTTGCTTCACAACTGCAGCCAGAACTGATGTCGTAAGTCAGGCACAGTCATGTGATGTTTCACTTTATGATCATGTCACTTACAATAGAGTTGCCAGTCCCAATTGCAGTCAATAAATGAAGACTACCTGTACAAATCTTTTAAACAAATAAATCCCCACTTTGTTGTAGCCAGAGCCAAACCTAAGTGGGAGAAAAGTTTTCATCCCTATCCAGCCAAATCACATCTTTTTCAGTCCTGAACGAATGTCTGAAACTAGTTAGCCAGACTGTGTCAGAATGCTGGTAGGATCACCCATGACACTGAAAGTGAGGCATCATGGATAGAGAACCTCTCTGTTAGAAGTGCACCTGGTTTATTTCTTGTTTTGATCAGCTATGCAGCTCTGAAACTGTCACACGCAATATGGTGAGCATCCCACATCTGAGGCAGGTATATTGCCATTCCCTCTCCTGAGTGATTTAGCTTGCCTGTAATTATGTCATTTTGTCAAATTGGCAATGGAGACATGACATGGCTGCATATATTATATAAGCATGCCCCATCTTACTTTAGCAGCAGCACTGAAGGTGTGCAAGAAAAAACTGTGGAAGTATGTGGTACCCTGGAACCCCCCCGACTGCTCTGAAATGTTCAGAGGTTTCTGTCCTCTTAACAAAGCTTGGAAGCAAGAAGACTGACCACTGAGAATCACTTTCAGTCATATTGTAATGGTCAGTGTAATGTGCCAGCTTCAGAACCTGAAAGCACTGCTTTCATTATTTGAGACTAAGTAAAGGTGTGCAAATGGGGGCGGGGGGGGAGTGGAAATCAAAACATGCTTTCATTTCCATTAAGATCACAATGCCATTTAAAACTTGAATTTCCTTAGGGGAAGGTGTAGAACTCAACATCTTAAGACACATCCACGTAATCATCTTGACAATAATACAGTTGTGGTCCATCACTGCTTTCTTCCAGGATGTTTTTTTTTTTTTAATTTCCCAATTCAGCTTTCCATCTAAATACTCACTAGATCCAACCGACTGTATTTAGCTTTTTCCAAGATCAACCAGGTTTAGCTAGGAGCTGCCACCTGCTGTGACCATAGGGGAAGAGAAATTCAAAACGGAATAAGCATGAAAGTAAATTTACAAGTTCAGAAAGATTTAAATTCAGCTTTAGCTCTCCTCCTCAGCTGAGAAAAGCAAGTCCTGCCAAGATGTTGCAGACTGGGATGGACAACTTCTGCAGCATGGACCGTCATACCTGCACCAGGACTTTAATCAGGGCAATGGGGATTCTGTGTAACTGTTCACAAGATATGTACTGGCAGGACTCAACTTCTGGAACATATTTCCTTTTGCTTCACTTAAAACTCAAGCTTCAGCCTGTTACAGAAGGAAGCTTGGGCTTATACAATACATGTCTAATACTTGGCGGGGCCTCAGAAATTAGACCTGGCAATGGGACAGGCTTTCCCAGTCACTGGGGAATAGAGCTTGAGAAAGATCTGTCCTTTTGTGACAAGCAGAATAAATCATGCAAAGTAAGCAACATTTAGGCACGGAACATCCTAGTATGTGTTGTTTGCTTAGCGTATGCAGGTTCCAGAATTTAACTTTCCTGACACAAATCACTGCCAGCCTCCACACATCAGAATATATA